AAAGAGTATTTAAATATTTTTATTTGAAAAGACACAGATAAAATGAAAACCTAGCAAAAAAAAAAAAGACACCATACAGAACAAAGAAATTGTAGTTTATACAGATCAAACTCAGTGGAACAAGTAAATAAATACTCATGTACAATAGCCAAAGTTTTGCTAAATATAGGTTTTTTAAATCATAATGAAAGGATAATTGGACCTGTAGGTTTGGAATCCTTTTGTTCCCTCTGTGGTGATGTCTTTGAATTTATTTGCATTATTTTAGATGTGGAAGTAAATGGTTTCCTTATATATTGTGCAAACGCAATGATGGAATGTCTTTATATTTCTTACACTTTATGATCATGACCAATATATACTTTGCACTTTATGTACATGGTGTAACGGACCGTTTCAGCACACAAGGGGTTAAAACCGTTTAGGTGATCGTCCCCTTCCAGAGACACAGGCACAGCTACTGCAGAACACCAATCCGCCGTAAACAGCCGAATAGGAAAAACCATACGAATAGCTTTACACTCCTAGCAGTCGAACTGGAACAGCATACAATAAATCCCCCCAAGAACGAGACAAAGCTCCGTGTTGAGGGTCAAGCAGTGAACAGACAGAGCTGTGGGTTTATTGTGCTTATGTACAAATTCTTACACATTAGTACCACCCACAGGGTTTTGGAACACAACCAATAAACACATACAATACACTCAGACACTCCCACACAAATTCCTCCCCTCTGCCTGTGATTCAATTACCTTACACAATGGACAATGTGCTCACATCTTGCACCAATGCAAATAGTTATGTCCTTGCATTTTGCACTTTGGTCTTGTGGTATATGTGCTCACATTCTTGCACTTTAGTCACATGGTATATGTGCTCACATTTTGCACTTTAGGCACATGGTATATGTGCTCACATTTTGCACTTTAGGCACATGGTATATGTGCTCACATTTTGCACTTTAGGCACATGGTATATGTGCTCACATTTTGCACTTTAGGCACATGGTATATGTGCTCACATTTTGCACTTTAGGCACATGGTATATGTGCTCACATCTTGCACTTTAGGCACATGGTACATGTGCTCACATTTTGCACTTTAAGCACATGGTATATGTGCTCACATCTTGCACGTCATGTTATTGGTCAGTGTGTTGCAGTTTATACTCTTTGTTTGATGGATAAGATTAGTTAAATTGCGGTATGCACTAATTCTCACATGATAAAGGTATACTGCTGAGATACTTTATTTGCACTAATAGCTGATAGTATTTGTAGTTTGATACGCCTGATTTTTCACGAGGTGAGTAAAGATTTATATTGGATAAATGGGGGTTATAGGCTATAGAGTTGGATCGAATAATATTTGTGGCTCTATTGTGTAATGTCTATATGTATCATTAGGCTGTTAAAGTAATTCATTAATGATGGAGGGATTATATTTTATTAGAGACATTATGGCATTAAGTACGGACTGCTAAAGTTTATACTGAGTACATTTTTACTCATAGTATATTTTATTAATCGCTACTGTACTTCTGTTCAGAGACCAACTATGTTTCATTATCTTTGTATGTACACTGTTCCGTGATAATAAAGTTAAATCTGATCTAATCTGATATCTGATAGAGTATGTAACTGCAAAAAATAAATTATTAAAATAGAATTTGTATATTCTGTGACATACTACTCATTTCACAATTTGATATGTAACGTGCAAAACAAAAATTCTGGCATTAAAAGGTGTTTTGTTTTTTTAAAGGATGCTGTGCAATTGAACGATATTGTAGTCTTGCTGTGTTCATAAGAGCAGAATGTTATTAAGGTGACTGAGAAATCTAAAAGCTTTGGTAAGACTGGGTGAGTGATTAATATAGTTTTACAGGTTTTTGGGTTTAGAATTGTGGGTGCTTGGGATTAGAGGGACACCTGCCTTCAAAGTGCTTCCAATTCTAAATGCTATGAAATTTTGGACTTCAATTTGGCAATGTAAACACTACCAGTCCCTAAGTCCATGGCCATAATTCCCCATAAAGCTCCAGTGTGAGATACATTGTTGCACCCCATCATTAAAGTACTGTGTACAGCAGAGCATTTAGCTCTGTTATATTTATACAGCATTGTAAGTGGTATTATAATAACAACATGTAATTTTCATCTCAGGAATATCATAGCAGCACCATAACGGGTGGCAATACTGGACTCAACATTTTCATATCATGGTACAAACATAACCATGCAGTATTTATTATATAATACATTATAAAAATATCTACTTGAATGAATACATTAGCCTTTGCTCACTTTACAAATATTTTTGTAATAATTTAGAATTAAGAAGGGCTAGAGTTCGGGGTAATTTTGGTAACTGGATTGTCCATTAGTATTGAGATATTACAATGTACTTACATCACTATTTGAAATGCATATTAAGCTGACAGAAAATGGTCAAATAGATTATCTAATCTTCTCAGTGTCCTACCTAAAAATTCCACACACCCTCAAGATCTAGCATCGACTATGAAATTTAATTTTACACATGGTCCTTTGGTATTGCTTTTAAGTTTTGAAATATGCAAACTTACTTTTAATCACGGAATAACTTCCACATGCTTAACAAGTTAGGGTAGTTAAAAAAGAGTTCTACTCTACTCAGAGAAGTACTAAACTCACCATAATGTCACTTATAAATTGGTCTTTAAGTAAAATAAAAACCTGTGGTTTGATGTTCACACTCAGACAGGTAGATGGAAACTAACCAACAGTTGACAGGCTGTCCTATGGTTTGTTCAGAAGGCTAGGTGGTCTTGTTTTTTGATCATTCTATTTGAACATGTTCTAGGAAAAGGGCTGTTTGATACACCTTCAAAGACAACCTCCCCACTCATCAAATGCCAGGAAAAAGTGTAAAATTACCTCCTCACTCTTGAACTTATATAACGAACATGTGTCGTCCCTCCTCTTGTTTTGAACAGGCAAGTACATGCTTTTGGTTGGCTGCTGAGCCATGTTATAAAATTTTCAGTTTAAAATATTAGGGTTGGGCAAGGGGACCTTTACATTTAACGGAGATGATGTCACAATCATTCTTGTGACACGGGGACAGTTTCCATATCAAGTTACACCTGAAGAAAACAAGTCACGGGAAATCCCAAAGCTATTTATAGATTTGGAAGGTTCTAGGTATTAGAACACCATAACTGAAAATATTAAGGAGTCTTTAAAAAAAATACAAATTTTTTTTACAGTATTTGACCACATTTAACAGGGCTGGACAAGCAGAGACATGTTTGATGAACATTTAGAAAAGTTTAGACCTGTTTATAAATGCAAAAACAAGTTGGGATGTGTTTTTCCCAAAGCCAAAAACACATATATGTAGTCCAATAAGAGTTTGAAAAACAGGGATGTGGCATGGCAGCTCACTGACATGGACGTATGAGCCGTCAGCTCCCGGGAGGGTAAACGAACTAGCAACGATTAGCAGAGAATTGGTTGCTTAAAACCCACAGTACAAGAACTGCTTCGTCAGTCAGTATCACCATGGCTCAGAGGACCGGCAAAACAAATTACAGCCCGCAGCCCTACACATATCGGCACTGACACCGCCGCGCAGTGGGCTCCAAGATGGCGCAGACAGGCCTACATCACCAGCAGCCTGCTCAGACAGGAGTGATAGCATCACTACCTCTGCAATTAATGTGGCCCCAGTCTCTGAAACTACGCTCCAAAGTATGATGCAAGAGTTACAAACTAACTTGGAAGCGGAATTTGCCAAACTAGCTTGGGATGTCCGAGCAGACATCAAAGCCATAGGTGACCACACGGACCAATTAGAGGATAAAATATAAAAAAGCAAAAAGAACACAGTCTAATGCATAAACCAGGAGTATATATATATATATATCAATAAACACATGCAGTAAATGGGTATATCCACTAAAAAGTGGGTTGTGGAGTGATCAATTCAATTACAAAAAACTCTGGGTGAAAATAAACAGATAATAACAGCTGGAGTCCAGATAGAAATAGATAAAAAAAAAAAAAAAGGAATGTATGTAACTTGTTATTGAAATGGTCCAAAATGTATCAGCTCAAAGACATGCCTAGCAGAGATTTCTCCTATTAAAATAGCCAGGAAATCTGCTCACTGAGCTGTAATAGTCTAGTATTACACTCTCATCCCAAATAGATATGAATGTAATACATGAAACAAGAGTATATAAAATGTCTTTAAAGTAATAAATCACCAGGGAGAGGATAGGTGCTTTGTGGAAACAGCAACCCGTTTCAATGGATAAAGGGTGCACCAGAGTGTAGCACATCAAAGGAGTCCAACTCAGAACAGCCTTAGTGTTCCCTAGATATTTCCTCCTTTTTGCCGGCTTCGGGGAAAGTTAGGGAGTCCTGGTTTGTGTTAGCTGTTTGGTGTTCGCCGCGTGCGTTCCACTGTGATGTGCTCCCCTGTATGGTGTAGAGAGATGTAACCTGACACGTTTCGTGACACTAGTGGTCACTTCATCAGAGGTATGCATCAGTTTGGTACGGCTGGATTTTTAAGCTTCAATTAGATGATAAGGCTGAAGAAAGTATTGAAGCCCACAACACCATGGCCAAAGCCTATGAATCTTTTGAGGCCTGATTGTCCTCCCTAGCAGCAAAGGTTGCAGATCATGAAGACCGCAACAGGTGCTACAAGATCCGCCTGCGCAACATTCCTGAGGAGATCAAACCCTTGTAACAGCCTTATTCAAAGCTCTGATCCCTGATCTCTCCAGCAGGACCTGCTCCTGGACTGCATTCATCGCCTACCAAGGTCTAAAGTTCTTGAGGCCTCCATACCTCGGGATCTGGTTACAAAGGTGCACTATTTCACCACGAATGAAAGCATCATGAGGGAAGCCAGAAACCCTGATGGCATCCCCACTCAATTTGCCAGAGTCAAGCTGTTTGTCGACCTGTCCTCTGTGACACTGAGGAAACGCAAAGAATTGTTATTGTACTCATTATCAAATGAAATGGGACCAAACATCAAATAAACATGATGGCGAAAGGAGCACGATCACTTCAAGAATGGAATCTGTCCATCACTTTACCGGACAAACAAGATCCATCTACTAGCAACCGCAGAACACCTACAAAACTTACCAGAGATTGGGTCACTTCTTCAAGGACTAAGTAATGAACTGGTAACTCATTAGCAAACAACCAAAACCAAATATTATTTGCATTTTTTGGCACACTAACACGTGAGCATTATGCTTTTACGTTTCTTAGTTTTGTTTATCTATTTTTGATATTTTTTGGGGGATACGTAGAATGCTCAAGATACCTACCATTAAGGTTTAATAGATAAGTGGCCTACAAACGGAGGTTCAATAAGGTGCACCACCAGCCCAGGCGGTACAGATACCATTACCACACATTCCTGAACCTCCTAAGTGTGAGATTAAACAACCCAACTCATACAGTGCAACCACCAAGCATGTAATGATAGAACCCTCTCCTGTACAGTCTCCATGGAGCCGCATATACTCAGGTATTTCTTCCATACTACATCTTTGTATGTAGTTAAATTATTTTTTTTTTGTTACCCTAATTTTCTCCTTTTTTCTCCTTTGACTATTCTATACATATGCTAGATGTTTGCCTACTAAGAATATATTTTCCACTTGAGGTTACCTGGTCGACCCTAATTGAGGAGCGAATACCCCCTATGTTTATATGCATGTATTTCATTTGCTGTTCTCTGAAATGTCCATATCTTCTAACTGTGGTACCTACCCATCACACACAGTGTTTTGCAAATACAAAAAAATGCCATCCTCAAAGATATATACTGATTAGAACTGTTATTAGGGCAGGGCACTACCTGAGCGATTGTAAGAGAGGAGAGACGACCCTGACTAGATGGTCACTGTTACCAGGTTACATGAATAGGCTGAATGACATAAATAAACAGCTCGTTATTCTACAGTGAGGGGAAAAAGTATTTTATCCCCTTCTGATTTTGAACGTTTGCCCACTGACAAAGAAATGATCAGTCTATAAATTTAATTGTAGGTGTATTTTAACAGAGTATAGGGATATGGGTGCACATGGTCTATCAATTCAATTCAGTATTCTTACATGTAGGGATATATTGTACAATTCCGTGTACGCGGGTCGCAGCCTCTGATTGCATGCCGTGGCACTAAACTGTAAATTATATTGAAAGATGGTTGGGCGTCAGGAGATAGGCACCTGTGAAACACCATTGCTTGTGTTTGTTTTTTTGTTGGTTTTTTTTATAGGTATGTTTTATATTTCTGGTCTATGCTTCATCCATGACTGCCAGGTCTCTTCCACTTTGCATCTTTGTTTAAGAGTTAACGCACTCATAGTTTCTAAATTGCAATTAAGATTAAGTCTCTCTACCAAATTCTGGAGGGACCGGGTTTCTGTTTGCTTCCAGTGTAGGGCTATTAGATGGCGTGCTGCCAAGGAAACATGACTTACCAAAGCATTGTGGTGGAACACACTCCTCTCCTCTGGTATGAGCAGTAGTGGTTCCAGGGCAACCTTCGGAACCGACAATTTGGAAAACAATCTGTCCACCTCTTCCACAATGGTCCCAGCATTTAGCATATCACCATATGTGAAGCATATTCCCCTCTTCGACCCTACATCTCCAGCAGACCGAGGGAACTCCTGGAAATATTTTATGGAGTCGAGAGGGTGTGAGGTACCACTGATATACTAGCTTTCGGTGTTCCTCTACATGGTGCTAACATATCGTTACTCCCTTTAGTGCATTTATTGACCTTGTCCATTCCTCCTCTGAGAGGTGAATGCCACAGTCCATCTGCCATTTTCTTTGGAATGAGAATTCTCTGGGAGGTATAGTACTTTATATCGTTTTGTAACTCAGAGAGAGTGTTTTTGGTGTCAATGGACGTTTCTAGCATTTTTCAACGAACCAGGAAAAGTGCAGTGGCATGACCCAAGATCGGTTCAAGATGGTAAGTAAATGAGAGTGTAGCAAGCTTTTAAGCTGTAAATACATGAAAATATAATTTGAAGGGAGGGTAAACATTTGTTGGAGGTTCGGAAAAGCGTTTAAGGCTCCTTTTATGAGTAGTTGGGAGATATGGGTTATTCCTACGTCGTTCCATCTCTGTAATGTTAGCCATGGCGATAAAACCGTTAGGGATGTGTACTTTCTGAGCATATCATCCCATATCTGAACCATTAGTTTTCTGGCAGAGAATAAGTTTGGCATCGGGGACGCAAGATAGCGAGTGTCCAAAGTTTTTCAATTAAGGATAAGCCTTGAGTGCATTTGGCCTCCATGTGTACCCAACCCAGTGTGCCTTGTATAGCATGTCTGGTCACTATCGATTATACTATAGCTGCTTTGTAGTAGAGAAGTATATTAGGCACCCCCATCCCTCCATTAAATGAAGGTTTCTCGAGCAAGGTGAGGGGAAGCCTAGATTTGTTTTTTTAATGGAACAAAACTGGGTGTATAAATAAAAACATGGCAACATTTCGTTCTTTGTGTGTGATTAGTTTAAGCAGACTGTGATTGTCTATTGTTGTGACTTAGATGATGATCAGATCACATTTTATGACCAATTTGTGCAGAAATCCATATCATTCCAAAGGGTTCACATACTTTTTCTTGCAACTGTATATTGCTATTATAATGGCTAGATAAAAAAAAGTCTACAAATCTCAAACTCCCAGAACTTCAACTCCACTGTAGGAATCCCAGTACCCCACCTGTTTTTTGTCCTAACCCTACTGAGACAGAAAGATCTCTTTGAGCTTGTGTTAAAGAGTAGCATGGGATCTTTGTCTGGAGGGCTTGAAGTAGAGTAGGTATTAGACATTTTGTAGGGCTGACATCTTAAATTCAGATTGCCTATTTAGCCATGAGATGGGTTTGTATTACATAGTGATATGATGGTTAAATAATTATATTAAAGATCTCTTTTAATGCAGTATCATTTTCAGGATGTCAACAGCTATAAGTGAAACTGGGTTAAAATAATCAGTCTAACAAAAAGAAAAGAAACTACACAGATTAATCAGTTTGCAAAGCTCATGGCATTTATTATAGTCATAAAGAAAACGTACACCTTATGGTCTACATGTCGAGGCTATACCAGGTAATGCTCCATGTAATTTTTATAATGAGAAATATAATGTTGATTGTCCATGTAAAGCAGATATGTCAGAGAATGGTGTGTCCAGAGTGCTTCTAGCAGTTAATTCTGAACTGAATCATTGGTCTGTGGAAAAAACAATAAATAAAATCTTAATGTCTTGAAAAACAAAATAGCAAAAGACAGAGTAGGCAACTGCCTATGGGCTAATTGTCTCTAGAGGGCACCTCTCTAATAAAGACACACGCAGTCTTGCTGTCAGTGACCCTAGATGAGAGATTCATGAGGAGAACGAGGGTGACGAGGCAATGCTAACTCTTGTTACATCAAAGCCAACTTTTAATTTAAACCCAGCAATTACCTGCCTTCATGAGCCGAGGACATTAAAGGAGGCTGGAGGGCTACTTGGCTTCTGTTTTTCTGCTCACTTGGCTGTGTAACAGTGGACAAGGGGAGGCTTCATTCCCCTCTTACTACTTACCAGATGTGTCTACATTGCATTGTGTGCAACTCTCTGTGTGAGTGTGTACTTGTTAGTTTTGTTTCTCTGTATATGTGTGTGCATAGGTCTAATTGAATATGTGCACAGTTTGTTTATGTGAGTTTGAGTATGTATGTGTGTCAGTGAGTGTATATACGTATGTCAGTGTGTGTGTGTTTGTGTGTGTATGTATATATTTCCACATATACAGCCAAATACATTGTATTGTATATGTTTGTCAGTGAGTGTGTGTGTGTGTGTGTGTTTATATATATGTGTGTGGATATGCCCATAAATGTACTGGGAAATGGAAGGCAATGGCTATACACCTCTCGTTTAGACAATATGTTATACAATGAATGAACAGATAATTAACTCTATAACCAGCCGTAGTACAAAATATAATAATTAAAAAAAAAGCTTTCCACACATACAGCCAAATACATTGCAAAATGTCAAACTATTGGTGTAAAATGAAGCGTATCTGCCATATATGGATTGCATCTAGTTTATATACTATAAACTTATAAATTTGACATTCAATATGAATTCACTTGGAATTATCCCTTTAGTAAAATATTATGATAAAAAAGATTTACCTTGGGGTAATATCCTATTTTCTCCTATATTTTTATGGTATGTATCTCCCACCATTATATTTCAGAGACCCGACCAACACCAAGGGGTTTTCATTAAAATAGATTTGTGGTGAGTTGATAAATTAAGACTCAAATAAAATAAACTCCTTAAAGACAAGTGCATCAGTTGACAATTTGTTTCATAAACCAGCAAACAAACACCTTTAAACAAATATACAAACCAAAATAAAGTCAGAAAAACTTTTAAAAGTATGTAATAGACGTTTATAAACTAAGTCGGTTTGCATGATTGGGCACGCCTCTTAGCTAGGGAAGTTTATTCTAACCCTCATTAACCATCCACTTATTCAGGCCAGACCAGTCCATTAGTGACAGAAACAGGTCACAACTAGTGATGTACCGAACGGTTCGCCGGCGAACGGTTCCTGGCGAACATAGCATGTTCGCGTTCGCCACGGCGGGCGAACATATGCGCGGTTCGACCCGCCCCCTATTCGTCATCATTGAGTAAACTTTGACCCTGTACCTCACAGTCAGCAGACACATTCCAGCCAATTAGCAGCACAGCCTCCCTAGCAGACCCTCCCACCTACTGGACAGCATCCATTTTAGATTCATTCTCAAGCTGCATGCTTAGTAAGAGGAGGGAAAGTGTAGCTGCTGTTCATAAGATAGGGAAAAGCATAGCTAGGTTAGGGATAAGGGTATGCTTTTTTTGGATTTTTTTTTTCTATGTAATGTAAATGCACTTAGTTGTCTGCCACTGCTGCCAGCTTCTGTGTCAGGCTCACAGTGCCCATTTCCCCAGTCAGTGCCACCAATTACATCTGGTGTCACAATAGCTTGGATTTAAAAACAAAAAACTTTTTTCACTGTTATAGATTGAATAGCAGTCAGTTGTCTGCCACTGCTGCCAGCTTCTGTGTCAGGCTCACAGTGCATACTGTGCCTATTTCCCCAGTCAGTGCCACCAATTACATCTGGTGTCACAATAGCTTGGATTTAAAAACAAAAAACTTTTTTCACTGTTATAGATTGAATAGCAGTCAGTTGTCTGCCACTGCTGCCAGCTTCTGTGTCAGGCTCACAGTGCATACTGTGCCCATTTCCCCAGTCAGTGCCACCACTTACATCTGGTGTCACAATAGCTTGGATTTAAAAACAAAAAACTTTTTTCACTGTTATAGATTGAATAGCAGTCAGTGTCCTTAAAGCGGGTGTGTTACGCTAACAGTGGATACGCTGACAAGTGCCACTAATTAGATCTGGTGTCACAATAGTTTGGATTTAAAAAAAAAATAATCTTTTTTCACTGTTATAGATTGAATAGCAGCCAGTGTCCTTAAAGCGGGTGTGTTACGCTAACAGTGGATACGCTGACAAGTGCCACTAATTAGATCTGGTGTCACAATAGTTTGGATTTAAAAACAAAAAACTTTTTTACTGTTATAGATTGAATAGCAGTCAGTGTCCTTAAAGCGGGTGTGTTACGCTAACAGTGGATACGCTGACAAGTGCCACTAATTAGATCTGGTGTCACAATAGCTTGGATTTAAAAACAAAAAACTTTTTACTGTTATAGATTGAATAGCAGTCAGTGTCCTTAAAGCGGGTGTGTTACGCTAACAGTGGATACGCTGACAAGTGCCACTAATTAGATCTGGTGTCACAATAGCTTGGATTTAAAAAAACAAAAAACTTTTATCACTGTTATAGATTGAATAGCAGTCAGTGTCCTTAAAGCGGGTGTGTTACGCTAACAGTGGATACGGTGACCAGTGCCACCACTTAGATCTGGTGTCACAATAGCTTGGATTTTAAAAACAAAAAACTTTTTTCACTGTTATAGATTGAATAGCAGTTAGTTATCTTCAAGCTGGTGTGTTACGCTAACAGTGGATACGGTGACCAGTGCCACCACTTAGATCTGGTGACACAATAGCTTTGATTTAAAAACAAAAAACTTTTTTCACTGTTATAGATTGAATAGCAGTCAGTGTCCTTAAAGCGGGTGTGTTACGCTAA